GGGACGAAATGTGCGATCGCTAATGGCATATTCAATAGGGGAAAGGCATGTTGCAACCTTTTTTGTATTGAGCAATTATCTTGATCTTTTATCACTAGCATAACGAACAGGTCCATCCATTCCTTTGCCATTCAGGACAGCCCAGAAGGCACCATTTGGGTATATCAAGAAAATGGGAGGATGAACGACGACATAGGGGTGCAATGGTTTCAGCAAGTTTTCCGTGTCAAATGAATTGACTGCATCCCACAGAGATTCTTCACAGTCAACCCTATTCCGCCACATTCATATTTTTGTCTGCGGCAGAGCTGCGGCAGCGCCAGAATCGCTCCTGGGTGCGATTTTTATCGTCCCGCTGCCGTACCGCACTTATGGATTCAGACATTGATATTTCTGTTGGAGCGATTTTTATCGTGCCGCTGCTGCTGCCGTCCCGCACATAGGGATTGTCACCTTAAGTCTTGAAAATTCAATCAGACCTGTATATAACGGCCACCCATTGTCGTGGAGAAAAGTGGCCGTATAAGACAGGTAGCCGTCTTAGGCAGGACTGATCAAAATGAAGAAAGCAAACCATTCTCTTCCGAGGTCCAAACCCGGGCTGATCTCAGGATTAGGACTGCCGTAAGGTTCATTGAAAAGGGTTTTTTGTTTCTTTTGAAAAAGGGGGATGCGTGGAGTAAGAAGGGTGGGTTTTTTTGGTGTTGTTTTGCTGGGGGGGTTTTTGGTTTTTTGGTAAGCTTTCTATTTGTTGCTGATTTTGTGCAAGGGTAAATTAAACGAAATAATATTATGGAAGTAGGACGATGAAGACCGAGTGCCTTGGTAAAACAAACACACGGGTCGCCACCACTCGGAGAACGAGCGACGCTTCTGTCACAAGTTCACGTCAACGTCCATTGTTACTTTGTTACAGTTTAGGTAAACAAAACAGTGACCAGTCACCTCACACACGATTTGTGCATGAGTTGTGGGCGGGGCTTATAGGTTATGACGGATCACACGCTTCCCTCACCAGCAGTTGAAAAATTATTGTTAGGCCAACCCATTGGTCAACTTGGGTAAACAGTCATTGGAGGGACTAACAATAACGACAGGGGAATGAATTTTGGCGGCCCGTCCACAGCGTCAGGGGCCGATTCAAAATTTATGACAAAGCATCGGGCGTTGCGAGGCCACGCCTGGCCGTCTGAGGCAGGTAGATTTGGCCGTGGGTTGATAAAATAAGGTGGCCGCGGCTGCGTTGGACAGGTGCCCGTTTTATACAGTTAAGTTATATAGAAAAAATGCAAGGAGGGGGGGTGGTGGTCGTTTGTACAGGTGGCCGTCATGGCAGGTTCGACTGTAATACTATGTGCAATGGTATAGGTTTCACGTCAGTTTCAACACTGTAAGGTTATGTTACATAAGAGGCAGGAGTCTATACTTGTATATTATAAGAGGCAGGAGTCTATACTTGTATATTATAAGAGGCAGGAGTCTATACTTGTTTATTATAAGAGGCAGGACCTCAGAATTTAACGTCCATCTCCGAAAGAACCGAGCCAAATAGGAACTTCGTGTTAAGTGCCTTTCCCAATGACACAACAGCGAACACCCGAACCCGCATTCTCATTAATAACTACGGATCCGGTAGGTTAAACTAACCATTAGGAAACTAGATCTCTATATACCGACGTCATCTCTATGCAAGTTGTGAGACTCCCAATGATGACAGGTGATGGTGGTTGGCGGGTGCTTTGGTGTGGTTTGCTCCTTCTTTTCTATCGATATCAAACATCTTTCGTCCTGAACTCTCCCCCTTCTTTTTTATGTTTGGTACTCTCACTCTCTTGGAACACCTCTAATCTTCGGTATTTATATGATCTTATTGTGTTGCAAATACCCTAAAACTCTTATGAAAACTAAAAAAAACTGTCTTGGACAGGTGGCCGTTGGAGCAGGTTCGACTAAGGGAATTAGGAAGAGGTCGTTTGTACAGGTGAAAGTCTTGTACAGGTGACTGTCTTGGACAGGTGATTGTCTTATACAGGTCATAGTCTTAGACAGGTGATTGTTTTGTGATTGTCTTGTACAGGTGATTGTCTTATGTGATTGTCTTAGACCGGTGGTTATCTTGTACAGGTGATTGTCTTGTACAGGTGACCATTGGAACAGGTCCTACAGTCTACCACAATGACAGATCTAAGTGTCCCACCACCACGATCACTGCGCCCCTCACCTGCTACATCACCGCCAGCAGCAGCGATAACAACAGCAGCAGCAACAGCAACAGCAACAGCAACAGCAACAGAAGCAGCAGCAGCAACAGAAGGCGTGGAGAAAGAGCGAGCCCGCCCCACAGTGTTCACTCAGACAGTGGTGTCTTATGGGCCAGACCTCACTGTTATAGAGCGTCAGCAAACGGTAACTGGCTTGTCCTACTCTTCTTCTTCTTCTTCTTCTTCTTCTTCTTCTTCTTCTTCTTCTTCTTCTTCGCGAGGTGTGTGACGTAATGAGCTATACATGTGACGTAATGAGCTATAATGAGCGAATCAAAAGAATCGATCGTCAAGTCGTTGTGGAACCGCTGCGCACTGCTTGTGAACGGAAACCTCACTTGTTTACAATGGCGTGGCGTCTCAGAAGTACGACTTTCCCAAGATTAGATCTAAACGAAACTGATGAAAAACTGAAAATTAAACTACAGTGACTTCAAACTCCCTAGTATAACTGTGCACCCGTTAAATGATTCTGAACCGCCGTTAATTTTTTCAAATTCGAAAGTTAAGTGGTTCGGAAGTTTTAGGCGACAGAAGTGACGAACTTTGACAAATACAATAGATTCTATATATGGTCGCTAACAAAGACAAGGCGGCTAACCCAGATTTAGGGGGTTTCCAGAAATCTTGACCTACACCTAAAGTGGATATTGCCCTACCTATAGGAGAAGTTTGGTTTTGTTGGAGAATTTGTTTGGTTATAGAGAAAACTCTCCTAGTCTTTTAAAGAAATTGAACAACGGGCAAAAGCTTTACCTTTGATTTTTTTCAAAACAACATTTTTCGGAATAGCCCCCTTGTGCTTAAAAGTGACCCTGTAATAGAAAATGAGTTGTGAGTGACGTGATGAGCTGTGTGTGACGTCTGCGCGTTCACCAGGTGCTCCGTCTCCGCTCCCCACGCCAAACAGACGACCCCGCGGGAGCCCCGAGTCCGAGTTTCCAACCGCCGAGTCTCCAAGCCCCGAATCTCCCACCGCCGAGTTTCCAAGCCCTGAATCTCCCACTGCCGAGTCTCCAAGCCCCGAATCTCCCACCGCCGAGTCTCCAAGCCCCGAATTTCCCACCGCCGAGTCTCCAAGCCCCGAATTTCCCACCGCCGAGTCTCCAAGCCCCGAATCTCCCACTGCCGAGTCTCCAACCCTACATGTCCACAAACACCTACACAGGCAGGTAAGGAACAATGAAGTGTAGAGCTAGGCAAAGAATCGACTCCGGAACCGATTCCCACGATGAATGCTACGGAAAAAAAGTTCCGACTCTTTTTTTTTTTTTTACATAAATCAACGGTTACCAGTTACTTTAATCGTTAAAATCGATTCCTACGATTCCTAGCTTTCAATTTTCGGGAACCTAGCCTCCCAGCACTTGTTGGAATCCTTCACATTTTAGGGGGGGGGGGGGTATTTTGTTAAGTTTTTTTGGTGCTCCAAAATTACGCTTCACTAAAGACAGCTCAGTATAGTAGATTACTGAAGCTGGGGATTTTGAGATGAGGCACTCTTACAACAGGGCCAGCCCAGCTGAGATTGTGAATGTTTTGTTATTGTTTTTGTTTGGGGTTTTTTAGTCTCTGGTGTAAAAAGTACCCGTACAGACATAAGTGCAATACGTGTGACACCGGCCATATTATGTAGATTCGCGGTCATCGGCAGTCGAGCTGGGCCCAGCTGGGGGGGGTTATAAATCTCGAAATTTGGACTTAGGTGGATTGCTAGCAACAGCGACGATGTGGCCTTATATTGACAGAGGCACGTACCAGCCAACTAACACCCCAACCTACCAAACAACAAATCAACCAACTTCAACTAATGACTCACGCCAACCAAAACTTAAATACATGTAGTCAGACAAACGGACTGGATTGTAGTATCGTAAAATTGTACATCCTCGTCGATGCAGTTTGGATGATTTAGAGGCGATGACAAAACAGTTGTGAGGCAGCGTGGTGGAATCAGGCTCCTGTCAATTTTTGGGCATTTAGAGTTATTGGTGTCATCTTAAAGCTGGTTCACTTGTCTTTATTTGGATGAAAATACTATCCATTTATCTTGAATACAAGTCGAGATATTTGCGAATGAAGGAGGTGGGGGTCACCTGTTTTCAGGGGTAAAATTAGTGAGAAAATGGCAGCCAAGAATTAGTTATTTCCTTAGCTTAAGAGTCCTGGTCAATTGAAAATGTACATTTTGTGTGCCTTTAATCAACGTTTTTCAGAAAAATCCTCACAGAATTGAGTTTTTTAATGGGCATGAAAGGTGTTGAGCCAAAACACAAAAATTTGATAAAAATTCACAAACCTGCAGAAAAATGCAAGTTTATTCACTTTGATTATTTTGATGAGAGCCTGATTCCACCACGCTGCCTCACAATTAGTAAACAAAAACTAAAAGAGGACCCACACCACCACCACCACCACCACCACCACCAACAACAACAACAACAACAACATTACTTCAAGGAGAAAGTTATATCACAGTAATCACCGAAACTTAATGCACATGATGGTATAACTTTTTAAAAATATCCAGGAATTAAAACAACAACAACAAGACCACCACCACCACCAACACCACCACCAACAACAGCAACAACAACAACCACCAACAACAACAACTCCAACAACAACAACAACGACAACACCAAGCAGAGGGGTTAACCACTCACGTGTTCTGTATGTTGTGTTGTGGTGAGGGAGAGTAAACTGTGGCGAGCTGTGGTTCAAATCTATCAGCGCATG